CGCACACGACCATCCTCGTGGACTGCTAGAATATCGAACGGGTCCATCTCCCCTTTGGCATCTGTAGTAGAGGGCACAATTCCTACAAAGGTCGTGGGGCTGGTCGAGTCGGTCACGGTGGTAGTCGAAGAAGAAATGACCGGTGCACTTGAGCCGCTGCTGCCGATCTCCTCCACAAAGCACTTGATCTGATGTTCTGGTTTAGTGACAGCAGTATAGGTTTGTCTTCGGACTGTCGACTTTTTTGACAACTTCCTGCGCACTGAGCATGGGCGGCAAGAGAAAGTAGATTGCGGTGGGACGGCGTAGGAAGTAACGAGCTTAGGTGTTTGAACCTGATGAATGTTAGAGTCGGATACGACTGAGAGAAAACTAGAGAAGCAGGAAACATACGTTGTAAATGTTCACAGCCTCGCCATCCACAGCAACTGCGACTTCATAGCGCTTCCGTTTTTTCGCATCGGCGAGACTGAAGACATCCCCGATACGGGTTTTTCCAGTAGAAGCGTGAAGGGGGCGAGGCAATTTCGCTAGGACAGATGGGGACTGCAAATCCATGACGAACTGAATACTAGGAATCAAAAATGGCTTGAGTTCCTGTCCCTTCAAAGCGTGCGATCATTTTGATGCAGACCCATCCAATTTGGAAATCTGAAAAATTTTCGGGATTACGTCGGGCCGGCAAATCCACCCTAGGCCACCTCAGGGCTAGCGTTGGTCCGTGAAGCAATCAGCCTGACATAAGCCATTAACGCGCCTTTCGCGTCGGACGTGTTTGAATCTATGGAGATTGACCTTGACTTGATTCTTGCTTCATGAGTTTGCTTCACACTTACCACTAATATTCTGTCATTTCAATGCTATATCTGGGATATTGTTTGCTCCCTGATCTCTCCTCAGGGATCAACTGATTGTCCATCACATGAGCATCGTATCCAATCTACCCATGGCTATGGGAACCGACGAACAGCAAGTCATACATCCCTTCTTCCGACAAGGTCAGAATGTGTCCTATAGCAGTGTCCCATAGCTGCACGTGAATGCAAGCTTACAACGTCTAGAATTTGGTATCTCAGTCAAATCTAAACCCCCAAGTGAGCCAGTCTCGCCCGTGAATACCCACGTACACGAGCTTCGACCGATATGCAGCCAAAGTTCTACGCATGAGCAGGGGATACAGGCCCTGGAAAACCGCGATTCAAATGTCTCCAAAATAGACAATGAGAATCTGGTGGATCTCGACGAAGACCTAAATGAGGATCGGAGGAAGAGGCGAAAGACGGACAAAACCCAAACCACCGAACCCACTACTACTTCCAGTGTGGGTCTGTCAGAATGGCTCGGCCACAGTGTCACCAGCAATACATCTTCAACCGATCATCCTCTCGGGACCGGGATGAATTCGTCTATCCCACAGGCCGAGGCTCCACTGGCGGAGACCCAGCTTCCTGCAGATGAAACCCGGCAATTGACACCTGGCGGAAAGGAGAAACCAGAGGCCCGAGTTGGAAGAACCTCTGCAAGACAGAAAACTCTCAGACTGAACTCGAAGGGAAGGTTCCTGTCGTCACCCAGCTCTAGTCCTCCCCGAGAGAAAAAAAAAGGAGCGACAGCCAAGCGGGGGAGGCCACGAAAAGCTGATCGCAAGGTGGTGACAATAAAGTATAGCCTTGCCACGGAAAGAAACCTCGGGAAGTTGATCGATAATATCCTAGATGGCAGAGAGGTTCAAAGATCCCCTGCCACTCTACCCTCTGTTCAGCCGTGCAAGACGAAAAGTCAACGCCAAAAGCCCACGCACCCGTTTTTCAACAAGAAATCAGCGCAGAAACCCGGGTCCGCTAGTTTAAATGGATCTCAATCGGACAATCCAGATAGCAGCAGGACCGTGTGCTCAAGCCAAACCACAGCTGGGGCCCCGGACAACAAGCGGATAGTAGCAGCTTCGGGCGGCTCATTTCGTAGCTTCCCCCGTCGGGTCTCTAAGTTTGCCGAGCTGCTTGATCCCCTTTGGCCACCGCAAGGGTTCGTGCATGTCAGAGACGTTCACCCACCCCCAGGTGTTAATAATCGTGTCTGGCATACTACCCAAGACCGAAAAAAATCGAAGATTCCGGCCATCTCAATTAGAGACGAAGAAAATGTCCTTCTAGTTGGAACAGCTGAAGCAAGGAGGATTGCCCGCCTGGCCAAACAGGACTATGATGCCCTAGCTATTCTTCGGCACCCCGTGCGACATGTTGCCAGCAGTCAAGTCTTGCATACTGCAATGGAAAGACAGATGTCGTGGTCATCACCAAACCGCCAATTTCCTTGGAATTCTTCTAGTCCACCCCTTGCCAGACTTCGCTCGGGTCTGCTCACGTCAGTTTCCGCTTTCGATTGTGCAACCTACGAACCGCAGCTTTGGACACACAAGTACGCCCCTCAGTCAGCCGAAGACGTCCTTCAGCTTGGCCGCGAACCACAGATGCTCCGAGACTGGCTACGGCTCCTCAAGATCACAGCAGTTGACACCGGAAAATCATCGAAGGAGAATGCGAAATCCAAATCGAAGCGGGAGAAAAAGGCGAAAAAGCGCCAGAAAGCCGACAAACTAGATGGTTTTGTTGTGTCAAGCGAAGAGGAGGCCTCGGAGATGGACAATCTCTCTGGCTCAGATGATGAGTTAGCAGGCGGCGTGACCACAACACCTCAACGGACAGTGGTCAGGTCAGGTGACATGGCGCCTGGTTTACATGGAGTAGAAAGAAAGAGTCCAATAACCAATGCGATTCTTCTTAGCGGCCCGGCTGGCTCCGGAAAAACCGCCTCTGTCTATGCCGTTGCAAAAGAGCTTGATTTCGAAGTCTTCGAGATAAACCCTGGAAGCCGACGAAGTGCCCGAGACATGCTGGAGCGAGTCGGAGATATGACGCAAAATCATCTTGTTCATCTCCTCAACGAATCCGACAGACCGACAGACGACAAGGATTCTGCCAAGCAAAACAGGCTGAAGAGCTTTTTCAAAGGCCCCTCAAAGACTAGCAAACCGGTCTGCCAGTCTGGCGAACCTAGCCCTAAGCCAGAAACTATGCCGAAACCACCCAGGGAGCAAAAACAGTCTTTGATCCTCCTCGAAGAAGCCGATATCCTTTTCGATGAAGATCGACAATTCTGGACTGGCGTCTTGACTCTCATCAGCCAATCTAAACGACCGATCGTCATCACCTGCAACGATGAGAGTTTAGTCCCTACCCAGGATATGACTCTTCATGCTATACTACGATACCGTAAACCTGCTCCCGACTTCAGCATCGATTACTTGCTTTTGGTTGCCGCCAACGAGGGCCATATGTTAAAGAGAGAAGCCGTCACCAGACTTTATCAAGGATCCAGAATGGATCTTCGGAAGTCATTGATGGATCTGAACTTCTGGTGTCAGATGGGTGTTGGTAGCGAGAAAGCGGGCTTGGATTGGCTGCTTCCTAGTTGGCCACCTGGGTCGAACGTGGATCATGATGGGGATCGACTTCGGGTTCTGAGCCTCAACACCTACGAGCGATATATGGGCTGGTTCAATCGTGATATGATTGTGACCCAAGGCTCGTTGGATGAAGAGACGGAAATCATCCACAACAGCTTCCAATCGTGGGGTCTCGGCCTGCAAGATTCCGAAGACATGGCCGGGAACAACGAAGTCGAACTTCTCCCCCCCGACCAATTTCGGTCTATTCCCAAGACAGCGCAACTTGACATGCTGTGCCGGGAAGCAGATTATTATGACATGAGAAGTTCTCTCGACATCCTTTGCTCCAATATTTCTATGGACATGAGCAATGTGAGTGTGATACTTACGTCTACCGAAACCCCAGCTAACTATTGAACAGGATGTTATTGATATATCCGCCCCACCGCCGCGAGAAGGCTATAAATCCAACTATCTTGACAATTACCCACTCCTGCACACAGAGCTGCGAACGGAGTATTCATCACTAAGTGAAGCTGTCGGCGCGACCTTCAATGCGTTGATAAGCAGAACTTCCCGCCCCGCAACCGCCGAAGACTTGGAATCTTCGTACGCGAATCGTGCCTTGAGCAACGCCATCGTGTCTGCAATGCCCCCGCAAACCCCTCCATCCACTCTCCCTCAATTCCAGCGCATCTTCGAACCTATCATGCGTGCCAACTACTCAAACCCCACACCAACCGCCCGCCATGCCCCTTCATTTGAGAATGGACTCGCACCGATCACGGAAGACTTGGCTCCATACATCCGCGCCATCATGGTCTTCGATGGTCGCCTCCAGCAATATCGCGAGAGGCTGTTTGTGCTCACGGCACAAGAGCACGGGCGCGGCGAGAAGCGTTCCCGCACGACACGTGCTAGTCGTGCGGCCCTTGAAGGAGGCGACAAATCCTCAACGCGCAAGGAGCGGTGGTTCGCTCCAGACACGCCTTATTACAAAGTGCAAGGCACTGCGGGGCCAGAGTGGCAGCCCGTCTTGTTCCAGATGGGGTATTTCCATGTTCAACCTATGGTTGAGCCATCCCCCGAGCGCAGTGACCACGTCTTAGATGACCGGGTCATGGAGAATCCTGGGTGATTGGTCTCGTGAATCATGCACGGTCCAATGTATTACCTATGAAAACGATCTTGATAAATGATATAGCTACCTGTTCCAGTATCTACGTATGCACTATTTATTTATTATTTATACCAGTCTTCACTTCTCGAACAAAGACGTTTATCTACATCGTTCGAACCCGCCGTGGATATTGGGCACAGGAAAAATAATGATTCGCTATTGTGCTATGGCTCAGGTCGCTCGAAAGTCATAAAAATACATTCAAGTAGAAACGAATGTTGGGAACCAGCAGGTTCGCCATAAGAAGAAATCCCACAGATTGAAGAGACCGTCCTGACCAGCAGGAACCTAACGAAAGTCAGAATCCAACTTCGCTTTGGTCATATCAACACTCAAAACTTACAGCAAGAAACATATCAATCCCCGCACTGACTAGGAGACAACCCTAGTAGCCACGGGCTTCGGCGCCTCGGGACTCGGGAACTGGGCGAGGTGATAGGGTCCATGATCCTGCTTAAAGTCAAAGATCGAGTCGCCAGAGCTACGCCGCGACTCAGAAGCATAAGCCCGTCCATTCGATGGTGGAGCTCCCTCAGTGCCGAATCGCTGCGTCGCGTAGCGAGCATAGAAGCCTGAGTCGCGTTGTCGGTCTTCTAGGTCTTCGCGGTTATCACGGCGCATGCGCTTGTGGTAAAGGATTATCAGGACAATAATGGCAGTTAGGAGGAGACTGAGATATAGTTAGTGCTGCTATTGGGTATGGGGATATAAGCCCTTGAGTATAGCCCTGGAAGTCCCCAGGTGAAGTCGGAGAAGGGCGGTGGAGGCGGTGATGGAATGGACTTACACCCCTGATATGGCGGCGGGAATGCCGATAGTCACTGCTGCGCTGGTGGGCTTTGTGCAGCTGGACATGGTTTCATCGCCATTGCAGTCGCGGCGGAAGACGGTAAGGAGTGTGGGGATCATGGTGGATTTCCGATTGAAGTTTTTAAAAAGAGTGTATTTGATGAGAACCGGGAAATAAAAGAGCGAAGGGGTCCTCGGATCAGAAGGGATACAAGGGAGTGTGTTGTGGGGAAGAAATCTCCGAATGAGTGAACAAGGGAACAGACTATGTCTCAGAAAAATCGAAACAAACGACACAAACGAGCTATGTTTAGGACTGCGTATCGCTTCCGATGACCGTTCGATGTGCGGAGTTCTCCAAAATTGAAGATGTTGATTCGTCATGATGAAAAGATGGAAAGGGGGTGGCTTATTTCGGTTTCTGGTTGGAATATGGGGTTACATTCCTTATTTTTATGTGCATTTCCTTAACTGATTTCTTTAACGTTAATTAACTAACCAGTTAATATAAAATGTATACAATTACATAGAACACTGGAAGATAGTGGCTCTCCTATGATCTTCCTTACTGACACCTTCAGGGATTGTCAGTTCCACTATTGTGTGATTGGCCTCGAATACTTTGTTGCATCCGATTTCAATCTTCATGTTGGATAGTACATCGCTTTGTTCGCAGGGAATTCTTTACAGTCCTCCAGGGCTGTCCACAATAAATATAGTTAACGTATTTCAGTACCGAGCGGTCCAACCCCAACCCCAACCCAACCTACTAAATTTAAATGCATTTATCTCAACCAAAACGCCATTAAATTAAATAAACTAAACTCATTATCTATTTGGAGACATGCATCTCTCCTATGGCCCTGATTTTTACATAGCCTGCACGTTGGTAAAGCCCTAGTTCTTGGCTGCAAAGGTGGCGAAAGCCTTTTTCGCCGGGGGGTATAGGTGCTTCTATTGTTTCCACCGGCTGCATAATTAATGCAGATGCTTCTTGAACTGAGATGCCCTCTTCGGCAGGTATCTGCCTTCGGGATCTAGTACGCTTTTGCTTTTGCTTCTCGTTGGCGGCGCGTAAATCGCTCACTTCTTTCTCAAGAAAGGCCGCGGGTTGCATAGTGATTTGGCAGGCTTTCAAAACCTGGTTTATCGCGCAATTCAACGGGCTCGTAGGGCTTCTTAATCTTATATGAAGCAATTCATGCGGAATACCATACCGGCGTGGTTATTTGTTTCATGGCCTCCCCAGAACGGGAAAGTCTAGCATGTGTTTTGTGATTGCTGGCCCGCTCTGTTTAGATATCTATACCATCAGCCTGAATACATCCAAAGTCGACGAAGACAGTCTGTCTAAACTTTTCCAGGAGCTGCTAAGCCGCTGCATAATACTCCTCGAGGATGTCGATAACGCAGGGATTATTCAATCTATCCGTGAAGTCAGCGAAAGCGACCAAGTGACGGGCTTCTCCGAGGACCGGAATGCCGTTCATAGTGGTGTTTCACTATCGGCCCTTTTGAATTGTCTTGATGGTGTCGGAGCACAGGAGGGCCGGATTCTCATCATGACAACCAATCACTCAGACAAACTTGACGGTGCTTTGACTCGCCCTGGCCGAGTGCATAAGAAGTTCTACTTTGGATATGCGGGTAAAACCAGTATCAAGAGTATCTTTTCACTCGTCTATAAGCCTTTCATCGATGGGGGTCTGCTGGGTTCACTTCGAGCTTTCCAGCCAAGAAGCTGGAGGACCGGCCGGCTAGAGCCATGTCAAACAGGTCAATTCGGGACCTGTCTATCGAATTTCCTGAGCTGTTTCCAGACGGCCAGTTCGCAGCAGCTGGAATCCAAAGTTACCTCCTAGATTTTCAAGGATGACCCCGATATGGCCGTAAAGCAGGCTGCTGAGTGGGTCAAAGACAAGACGACAATTGATCTACACGGTAATTTCTAATAGACATGCATTTCATTCTGCAATTCCAGCAATAAAATGGTCAATAAGAAAAAACTCACGTCTTTAGGCATTCAGGAAAAGAAAATAAGAACTCATGTATCATCACAGGTTTGGGTTTTCACTGGAGATCCCTGGACAAAAAGGTACTATATTTGACCAAATGGTTGGAGCTCAAACATCAGGCAAGTCGAGTTCATATATACAGCATCTTCGGTTAAGGAGACTGGATCAGGAATTAGCTAGTGATCACCAACTGTGAGTTGAGCACATACCCGTCTCTTGCTGTCTTTTAGGCCGAAGCAATCTTCTTCCACGAACCGTAGCTTGCTCTTGCGAAGTAATTTTTCGATTTCATTCTTATCCATTAGCGTAGCAATATAATTGTCGTGATGTAATCCTTCCTTCTTGGATATCTTGAATAGAGTTTAACAATGACTAGCATGACTTTTTCCAGCTCTCTCTAGGAGCCAAGCCATATATTCGGTTTTCCTAAGAGGTAGCTAAAGACGTAGAAGTTATTTCCGAGGGACTCAAGATGAACTAGAGGAAGAAAACATATAATGTGTTAGCATGTTATTTTCTATCCTTTCCAAAAAAGAAAAGCCAAAAAAGAAGACCTTTCCTTATTTATTGCGCAATAGCTACATACAACCGATCATATGGTAGTTTTAATTTATGAAGTCGTATGTGAGATATAGTAAAAAATTTCTTTGCTTAATTCAGCAGATCATTCAGGGTGCAGAAATCCTGGTAAATCTTGGGATAGATATTATCCCATGATCTCTAGATTCGTGAGATTATCAAGGTGGTACAAGTGCGAATACAGATCGTTGACGGAGGGCCGAGATCAGTCGCCTCAGTACGTATAAGTTATTCTACCCGCATCTGTTATCGCTTTTTGTCGATTGAGGCTAAGTCTTCCTTAATTCACTCCTCTCATGCCTATCAAATCTAGCTAAGTACTAAGAAAGCAAGCCAACCAATGAGACAGTATTTGAACAGAGGATACATTCGCAATCAGACTCATGTACCAATGCCAGCGTAGCCTAGCAGCATAGTTCATACCAGACCTAGTTTTCACTGGCTCAGTAGCCTCTTCCGAGCCCATATCTTCACCTATAGTTCTGGTTCCTATTCACAGCTAAAAAGGCCAGAGACCACAGCTGCCTGATGTTCGATTCTAGAAACAACGAGGAATTAGCAAGGGCCATGGGCCAACTAAGTAAAAAAAGCTTGACTCACCAGTTTGACCACCCACTCCAGGCGGAGCAGGCAATACCCCCAAGGGCGTAACCTCAAATTTACCACCACGATAGACCCAAGACCAGACCTCACTCGAGAGCTGATCCGAGTTAGCCTCGATAGAGTCCCAAAGAACATTGTATGCGTTCTTGGCGTTGTAATAGACCGAATCGTCAGTGCAGAAGGCCGGAACAGGCAATGGGATCTGTTTCTTTTGACTCGTTTTCGTGCGCATCTTACCGGCCAGACGGGGAGCAGCCGAAGGAGCAGAAGGAATGGAGAAGTTCGACTCGATCCCACACCTCCCCAGCTGCATCTCCAAGCCCTTAGCCATCATGGCCAACTGCCAGGACCAAATAACAGTTCCATGATAAGCGCCCGTGGTGAAATTCCGCGCATAGACAGGGTCATTCCCGAAAGCGGGGTTGGCAACAACCATCCCAGCACCCGTCATCAAACCTGCCGGGAAAGTTCGCCTGATATTCGTCGCGGACTGGTTAAGAAACTTAGTCAGCTGTGCGTCGTTCGTGGTATTTAATAAAAAGTGCCGGAAACAGTCGTCGGTATTCATAACCTCGACTTTTGAGAGGTTGTTATTCCCTTCCAGAGCCACTGCGTAAAAATGAATGTCGCTGTCAATGCTGGATGCTTGGTCTGGGCCCGGAAATGAGGAGTGGGCGTAGCTCTTAACGAGAGACTGGGCTTTTTTCTTTGGAATTGTGACAGAGAATAAGTCCAGTGTTGAATTTTCCCATACTTTGGCGTATTGGTCGGCTAGAACATCCCAGTGGCGCTGCTTTGGGTACAGGCCCGACCGGGCTAGGGCCCCAACTGCGCGTAGGGCGGCGGGGACGAGCGCTGTGTTTACGTCGTATGGAATGCGGCCTCCACCAAGACCTAGAGAATGTCAGTTTCGGGGGGATTGTTCAGTGGTATAGGGACATGGTATACGTACCGTAGGTGCTATCCCTCCACTGGCCGACCACCTGTCCTTCACCCAGATGAATGAGGTTCTCTGTGGTCTGATTGTGGAAAAATGGACGAGCTAGGCGCATGACTCTTTCTGCGCTGATCAATGCCAAGTTGCCCCATGTGAGGTTTGCATTGGCAGCGTTGATACTGCCTGCAGTGGTACTGTTGCATTTTCGTGAGATTGTTGCACATAAAACACCGAAGTAAGGAAAAAGCTCACTTGAAGAAAGAAGTGGATCTGTTCTGTCCGACTGGGTTCTGTAAGAAATACCGCTCCATCAAGATGGGGAGGAAATAGTCGGAATCGATCTGTTTTGAAAAGTTTTAGCCAAACCACCGCCAACGCCGATTTGGATGATATACTGACCATCTTATAATCACAGCCCATCGCACTACTGGTGATGTTTTCCTGTGCATTCGTCCAAGTTGCATAGTCTCTGAAACGGTCAGACAATCACAGACCTAAGAATCAAAATGAAAAGAAAAGAAATTAGAAGAGTCTCACCCAATCGTTTCCTCATGACAAACAGTTCCATCTGTCCGATTGACGCGCTCCAACACAGCCCCAATAACAGCCTCCATGGCGCCCCCCTGATCACTACTCAAGACGGGCTCCAATAACAACGCAGAGATCATGGAGTCCCGTCCAAAATAAGTAAAGAAACGCCACGCACCAGCAAGCAATTTCTCCGAATACGAAAGAAACGACAGCGCGGCAACCTGAGCAGGCTTTTCGGTATCGAGATTTGCAGAAGGCGCATTGAGCACGGAAGTAGGCTTCAGCGTTGTCAACTGGGGGTAGTTCATATCCGCTGAGAAAAGGTACTCTCCCGCGTCGAAAGTCACGGTTTGATCTGAGAGTTTGACTTGGCCACCACTACCACTGCTATTCGCGAAGGATGCATTCTGGAAGGGCTGGAACCTCAGATTCGTTGTAGTCACATTGTCCAGCCAGAGTCTTTGCAGTGATACACCCCCGTGGCTGTCTGAGGTATACTTGATTGCGTCTTGGATCTCCGGATAGAGGAGACTGGGTCCCTCGACGAAGTCGCGGATCGTGCGGATGCTGCCCAGGATTGGGATGGTGAGGGTTGCGGTGGCGTTGAAGCGGAGAACTCCCTGAATGCCTACACTAGGGTTCTCGTTTGAGGTAGACGCTGCGGTAGAATAAACAGGTCCTAGAGGAGTGCCGACAGTTGAGTTTACCAGCTCGATAGAGAGGGTGCCGTTTGCACCTTTCTCCGGCTCGAAGAAGACACATGCGCCGCTGTTGCCGGCTGGCCAGGCTATGATCAGTCGCGGACCGATGATTGAAAGGTCGCTGTCTGGTTGCGGGGTGGTGACTACTGCCTGGGCGGCCACGTTGCAGTCGGAGTACAAATAGTTGTGGTAGGGAAGGTCAGTAAGAGATAACGTCGATGCTGGGTTGGGGCATTTTGGGGCGTCACGGGCTTGAGTACGCTGCGTGAAGGTGAGTACAGATAAATCGAGGCAAGAAATGATATTGGGAGTGCGCCACTGACACCATCACCATCTCCAGTCGTCGCGGCTACACCGACGCTCGCCAACAGACTTAGTTTCATGAGGCTTCTCATAATGGCATATGGAGGAATAGTTCCTGTGCTATGGTATTTGATGAAGTCTGATTCTGGGGGGTTGATGCCTTTTTTGAATAACACAATAACACAGCAATATCAACCTTCCGGAAGCGGCGCAACTTCGGGAGTTTATTCGTGCCACTACAGCTCTCCCCACGGGGATGTGGGGAATGGGAATGTGAGGGCTTCCGAAAATTCTCCGCCATAAAGTCTATCGATGATTCCCGCTGATGAGTTGGAGAGTCGGGGGGGGGGGGGGGACAAGGCCCGAGG